GGAGTTCCAGAGGATGGGTGACACCCTGGAGAAGTCCTGGAGGCGGGCATGGGAGGAGGAGACCAGGGAACTAGAGAGAAGGAGGTCTTGTGAGGAGCGGAGTGTGCGTGCTGGGCGGTACTTGGATATTAGGTCAGTGATGTAGTTCGGGGCAGTATGGTGGACAGCTTTGTACGTCAGCGTTAGGATTTTGAATTTGATCCGTTGCGCAATCGGAAGCCAGTGGAGGGATTGGCAGAGGGGGGTGGCGGAGACAGAGCGGTTGGAAAGGTGAATGAGTCTGGCAGCCGTGTTCAGGATGGACTGAAGAGGGGATAGCCAGCGGCGAGGCAGGCCAGTGAGGAGGGAGTTGCAGTAGTCGAGTCGTGATATGATGAGGGAGTGGATGAGCTGTTTAGTGGTTTCTGGGGTTAGGAACGTGCGGATTTTGGCGATGTTGCGGAGGTGGAGTCTGCACGAGTTTGTTAAAGATTGGACTTGGGGCTGGAAGGATAGGTTGGAGTCCAGAATGACACCCAGTACTCTGGCCTGCAGGGCGGGTTTGATGGTGGCGTTGTTGGATGTGACGGAGAAATCAATGGGGGGTGGTGTCCGGGCTGGGGGGGAAGACAAGAAACTCGGTTTTGGAGAGGTTCAATTTAAGGAAGTGGAGCGACATCCAGTCTGATATGTCGCTCAGTAGGTGTGTGATTCGGGCTGAGACCAAGGGGGTGAGGTGGGGGGTTGAGAGATAGATTTGTGTGTCGTCGGCATAGAGGTGGTAGTTGAAGCCGTGAGAGTGTATGAGTTGACCAAGGGAGGAGGTATAGATGGAGAAGAGAAGGGGCCCGAGGACAGAGCCTTGAGGGACCCCAACAGAGAGGGGGAGTGAGGGGGAGGTGGGTAGCATTATAGGTAACGCTGAAAGAGCGTTGTGACAGGTAGGATGAGATCCAGGAGAGAGCAGAATCTCTGAGGCCGAGGGAGTGTAGTTTTTTGAGGAGGAGGGGGTGGTCGACTTCCATTCTTTCATTCACGCTATACAGTGCAGATGGAAAAATCTCCCGATGAGGGTATTGAGTTCTGACCACCAGTCTGATGACTACACTGGGCGTTGGTCAGAGTATGATGCTTAGGTTTAGGTGCAGGTTAAAGGCACAGTTGCACCATCCAGCCCTGCTATCGGCAACCTGAGTATGGGGCAGTTCTTGTGTTTAGTGCAGTATGTGCTCAGGGACAAATACACAGATTGCCTGGATCCCTGAACACATACAGCATTAAACGTAACTACCGAGTGGTGCCCAGTCCAGCCGCAGCAGCTGTTAGACTCTCATAGAGTTTGACAGGCTGTTGGCAGTGGGGCTGGATGGTGCGAAAATGCTACGGATTTCTATAGTCATTTACAGGGATTCATAATTGCTCATTGTGGAAGCATATTTTATTAAATAACATTTCGAATGATTGATTGCTACCAGGGTACCACAAGACTTTAACCCATGAACTGCCTTTGACTCACATGGGCTCAAATTAAAATTTACATACACAAGCGGGTCGTTCGTGAGTGATTCCTCTCTTAATAGATAGCTCAGAGAAAGGGAGCCTCTGGTCACAGATGCAGTTTTTGTGGTCTCTTTATCTCTGTATTCAGTTAAAACTGATAGACGTCCATATAAATACGCTACTAGGAAGTGCAGCAACAGAACTAATTTTCTTCCATTTAAAAAAAAAAAAAAAAATTGCTTAAACGTGGACTGATGGAGACTTGGGCATTAAAAAAAAATCTGTTCTTGCACTTTCCAGTCTTTTTTTTTTTTTTTTTTTTTTTTTTTTTTTTTCTTCTGAGGTCTGAAACATCCCAGCTTTTATCACTCCTATACAGATTTTTTCTGTATACCGTTAACTACAATTGAATGACTACTTTTAAATGCTGCACAGTTGGTCAAACTGACTTGATTAGAATACCTGGCTCTTCTTGTTTTCTGCCTGTTTTTCCCTCCTAGATCGCATTATCCTAGATCAGCTTCTTTAATATGTAGTAACCCTTGAAATAACTTTTTGGCTTTAGGGAATCTCTGCTATTATATCTACAGCTCACAGTACATTAGTAGTGATGGTCAGTGCGAAGAATGTTCCTTCCGTTTGTGGTCATAGGGGAAAAAACTAATCCCCTTACAGATGGCTAAAAAGATCATCGATGTCAGTGGTTACTCATTTGAGTGCGAGAAATTGCTCATTGCTCAAGGAACCCCTAGCAACCTCTGGAGGAGCTTTAGGGTTCCACAGAACCCTAGTTGAGAGACCCTGGCCTAGAGGTTCAAAGATTTTGTCCATCAGGACATATATTAATCAAGCTATCTCAGTGTAATATTTTGTTTTTGGTGGTGTAACGTACATGTGAATGATGTAACGTGCATGTGACATAAATGTACAGATTTGAGTAGGTAAGATGTGATCAGTAGCAATATGTAATCGTAACTGGAGGGACATTCCATTGTCATTAAGGATGTATATTCTGTAGGGACATTCCATTTTCATTAAGGATGTATATTCTGAAGGGACATTACATTGTCATTAAGGATGTATTCAGTCCTTGTCATTGGGGACATGAGGTACAATTAGCATCAATTAGGCTGAAAAGCCCGGCTTCCGGGATGTGACACCTTTTGTGTTAATAAGGTTGTCACCTTCTGGTGAAACCAGTTTAAAGGAAGTGGCCCCAGACATTCCAGCTTCCTCCATGCATCAAAAGGGGTATGTTTAATCTCTCATAAAAGCTCAAATATTAGTTGCAGAGAGATGAACATGCTCCTTCTTGTAGGGCATTCTGTAGGCGACATCTGCACTAAAAATCATATTTGTGGTTTAGACAGAAGGCCAGGAAAATGCAGAAAATGGTTAGGTGGCGCTGGATGGCGACATTCGAATGGTGTTTGGTACTGTCGCAATCGGACTGATGCCCTGGTGTTGGAAATCCAATCCCCGACTTGGTGCTTCAAGCCAGCCTTGGCCCGATTGAACTTGGGCAGGTCCAGGGGCGGACTGACAACTCATGGGGCCCCCGGGCAATAGGGGATCATGGGGCCCCTGTGTCCTTGCCCAAACTCAAAAAAGCCTATGAAAAAGGTACCAGGGACATCTCATGGGGCCACCTACTGACCCCGGGCCCTCGGGCAGTGCCCGAGATTCCAGATGGTCAGTCCAGCCCTGGGCAGGTCAACACCCAGAATATCCTGTGGGCAGGTACAGGAACACCCCCCCCATGGTCAATTGGCCGAGGACTAATGTCCCGCCTACGTCCATATCCCCATAAATGGGGTATCCGGACACTGGGACATTTGCGATTCGTACGGAGCTGGTTCGATCGACCAACAGATTGCTGATTCTCTGACTTGCTCCAGTCGCTGGGTAAATCCTGGTAAAGTTTTACTTCTGTCTTTTATTCCCTTTTATTTTATAGTGAATAGTCATTTGTGTGTCTTCTTGTATTTTTTGTATTTCTGTAACTTTTTATATTTTGTACATATTTTATGCACTGCCCACTTTTGGGAAATTAAATCTTAACATTAATTAGTGACTTCTGTGTATTTAAGCACGTGCTCATATCTTCGGAGAGATTAGATTGGAGAGATTAGATTGTATATGTGTAGATAGCACCTTTAAACGCTCGGTCAAGCTCATTGCCAATCTCTATGCAATTGCACTGTGTGTGGGCAGATTGCGTGCAGATTGTAAAAGGTAACAGATCGGTCAGATGGAGATCTGTGTGTGTGCGGTGTCCCAGCAGACCGTTCTGCGGATAAACTGTTGGGTGGTGGCAGGCTACCTTTTGTGGTGTGTCTGGTTTGGGGGTGGGTGTGGACAGTGGAAGGGTGATTAACACCGTGGTTCAAGCTGTAGGTAGTTTGGAGGGACCTTAGAAGGGTGTGTAATTACTAAGCTGGTCCTCAACTCTAATCAGTGCATCAGATTGTGTGTAAGATTTGTATCTGCCAGTGTGTGGTCGACCAGCTGGATTGGAGTGGAGTCTCCATCTGGTGGTGGCCAAAGGTAGTGCGGGCTGTGAAAGTGTGTCATGGCTGATCCTATATATGGTTTTATATATATTCAAATTAAGTCCCCTTTATTACCTTGTACCCCAAGTCACGGCTGCACGTGTGTGCCTCGGTTAGCTAGCCGCTATGGGCGTGTGCGTGTGGGGGATCTGTGACAGGTGGACAAGACTGGCTTTATTTATTTTGGAAAAAAATAAGATCAGACCCTTTTTTTAGGAACCTTTATAGCAGACCTCAAGCCAATCCCTAAGGGTTTACATTTGTCTATGAAAGAGTTGCAATTTCCCTGACCGGTATGTTCAGCTGTTTTTATGATGGCTGTAGTTACTGCTTTTAAAGTGACATGGCTTCTAAATTCCTTCTTATTTCTTGACATGACTGTCTCTGGTCCCTTTATCCCTTTGCTACTACTGTGTTCTTTGAAAGTTTGAACTTGGCTGAACTCATGGGCGCGTGTGCTCTGCCCCACACTTACTCCCATTGATGCCTATGGAGGAAAACTTCAGTGCTTTGGACTAAAACACAGACTCAGCATTGTTTAGTAATGAGCAACAATCTGACCCACATCGCCTCTTGGGCTTTTGGCTAGTTTAACACTTTATGTGCCAAGAAGCCTTTAAAACCCTATTGTATTGTTCAAAACCTTTTCTTACACTTGGCCAGATCAACTTTGTGCCCAGCTGCATCATTGTTGTGTCATTCTCTATGACCACAGTTATTAACACCTCGTATAGTAAAAATAGGTTAGTTTGTTTTCTCTCATCATCTGATAGTATATTGAAACAAGGGGCAGCTGCACATCTCATTAAAATCTTGCAATCACAGCCATCTAAGCTGTGTGAGTTTTATGTACATTTACAGATTTGGTTCCATGGGTGCAGGATGGTATATAGTAAAATTCAAATGTACTGGCAAAGTGATTGCTATGCTTTTTCCCTAACAGCAGCTTTACATGGTGTCTTTGTGCAGTTACAGGTCAGTCGTTGACTACATTGATACTCAGTTTGAGAATTATCTCCAAGAAGAGCTGAAGATCCGGCGATCCCTTTTCAACTTCCATGACTCTAGGATACATGTCTGTCTATACTTCATTACGCCAACTGGGCACTCCCTGAAATCTTTAGATCTGGTCACCATGAAGAAGCTGGATAGTAAGGTAGTGGCAACTTCTGACTACTTTTTCCTTTTGCTTAACAGACCATGAAGTCATTCATGCTTGTTACGTGGTATAAAACAAGTTGGATTTTGCCCTGTTTCTATATTCTAACCTGCAATATTGTGTTGGCTGCTTATGTGGGGTATACCCACTGAATTTGAATAGACCATATAGTATAGGTGATATAGTGTGTATATATATTTTTTTTATGGGTGTGACATGTTATGAAAGGTGAACTCATCCTTTAAAGTGGTTCTAAAGGCTCAAGGTTTTTTACCTACATGCATTCTATGCATGAAGATAAAAAACTTTCTCTGTGCAGCATCCCCCCCCACCCCCAATACTCACCTAAGCCCCCTCTCAATCCAGCGATGTGCACTGGAGTCTTTGCTATCCTAGGACTCCCTCTCCTCATTGGCTGAGACAGAAGCAGGAGTCCTTGACTCCCACTGCTGTAATCACAGCCAGTGAGCCGAGGCGGTGGAGCCGAGCCGTGGCTTTCATGTGTGAATGGACACACAGAGCAGTGGATGCCCCTTAGCAAGCTTTTTGCTGTGGGGGCACCTGACAGGAGTGAGGGGCAAGGAGCACCGACGGGGGACTCAAGAAGAGGAAGATCCGGGCTGCTCTGTGCAAAACCACTTCAACAGCAGGTAAGTATAGACATAATTATTTTTTCTTAAAAAAAAAAAAAAGCCTTAGAATCACTTTCACCTTATCCAAGTTATCCATATGTACTTTGTTGTGAAGAGACTCTTGTTTACGTAGCTCAATAGCTTGTGCTGAAATGTATGCACACAAGTAAATTAATTTAATTTAGTCAGTGACTTATCCCACTCACTCCCTCTTGTCTGAGGTTTTTCAGTCAGAGAGACGGAGTGTTAGAAAAGAGAGAACATCTGCTGCGCACATTTTTATTCAACAGTGGTCAGCGCTGATCTTTGGTTATTGGCCCTGGACTGCCCTATCTGTATGGGAAAACTCCTAAATCCTGTGTAAGCCCCAGCTAGAGCATTATGGAGCTTACTAAGGGCCTACATTGCTAATGGTTGAGCAGGGCAACAAAGAAAGCAAAGATAATGTATGTGCTTTTGGGGGTAATAAACCGAACATGTTTCTTTGCCCAGCATGGGCTAATCCACTGTTTTTTATTCTATAATCTATGCAAAGAAGTCTCTGCACTAGAGTCTTAGGAGCAGGGACAGGCTGAATTTTAATCCATGTATCGACAGGCCGGTTGTACACAAGTTGATCTCTCAATCAACTTGTGTACAACCAACCTGTTACGTTTTTCTTGAACGATCAGTGCTGCCAGCTATGTCAATGGGTCAATGGGCACCCTGAGCCCGGCTCGGGATCGAGCCCACACAAGTGCCTGCATAGCAAGTGGCTTGCTTTGGGGGCACTTAAAAGAGGGGAGGAGCCAGGAATGTCTGCGGGGTTCCCAAGGAGAATGGGGCTGCCATGTGTAAAACCATTGCACAGAGCAGGTCAGTATGACCCCCCCCCCCTTTTTTTTAATTAAACAAATAGGTTTACAATCACTTTGAGTGTGTGGTACATTGAACGCTCTTCTTGATCTTTTGATCTTCCAAATGCATTTTTCTCCCAGATAATAAATTGATCAGACAATATGACCGTATATAAAATCGTTCTATGTATGGCCCCCATAAATGTTTGTTCATCTGATCTCTGCTGAATGGGCTTTGATCAGTTGGTCCTCTTCTGGAGAGATGATATGAGAATATGACTGTGGTCACTGAAACTAGAAGAAATGAACCTCTTCAATGGGACACATTCACCAATATTCTTTTTTTATTTTATGTGTGGATTGGGGAAGGATCACAAATCTTTTTTTATTATTGCTGCTCTTTTTATTGCTATTGGGGAATTGTTCTGTCTCTTAAACCGTGACAGACAACTTTATCCATCAGAGTCCCAGATAGCAATAAAAAGCTTGAAGAAGTTTTGGTTGGATTAATTTTTTCTTCTTTTTTCCTTATAAAATGTCCAGATTGTTCAGTGCTGCATACAGCAGTGTGGGCCCTTCTTCTGAACATCTGTCCTAGTCTTTGTTCTTGCTTATTAAGTTGAAAGCATAATAGATGTTTGTTGGGAGGATACAGAGTTGCACACCTCCCTGTTTGATCTCACCCAACATAACAGCTTACAGCAAGCTTTCATTGGTTAAATGTTACTGTAGTTGTTAGCCTTCAAATTGACGTGCTGTCAGCAGAGGACCAAACAAATGTGACGCACATTGACAATAGACGAACAACTAGGGGGTTCCAGGCAGTGTGGATAAGATAAACAGGCTGTCTGAAAAACACTGCCCATTTATATTGCCAGTAGGAGAGGAGAGTGGAGGAACACTGCACCATTTACATAGCAGCTGGCCACAGGGTCTGTTCTCCGTTGTCTTGCTCCTACACACTTTACTCTTCACATGAATGCACCCTCCTACCCTGTACTTAGCTACACTATTCAGTACTAGGAAAATCTGCTTGCTCCCTGTGATGTCATATTATATTGAATATATTTTCCAGATGCAGTAAATTGATGAAGGGGGTTATTGCTTTCAATAGGTTGCCATTCTGGGAAAAGATATGCGTTTGAAGACTCTTGCCCTCCTGTATGTACCTATGTCAGTTGATGATAAGCTCCCCATAGAGACCTTTTTATATAAACACACAGCAGGACCGCCATACATAATAGATGATTGTTGTCTGATCCAGCCAATAATGATTTCATTGGAAAACCTAGTATTTCTACGGGCAGCTCCTGACCTATGTAGACATCCCTGGACAGCAGACTTCAAGAGAAAAAAAACTACCTGGAATTAAAGTATTACTAAACCCACAACAGTAAAATCAGTCTGTATGTGCAGTATAGTATGCTTGTTATATTCACTGTGGAACCTAAGGGGTTAATTCTCTGCATTGTGTAAAAAGGCTGTTTGATCCTGACTTCTCTGATCCTCTCCTTCCAGTGTCCCCCTGTTATCTCCTGATAAGACATATTCTGATAAGACATATTCTGTGGAGCCACTCTGCACATGCTCAGTTTAGTGTGTACTGCTAGGGAAGGTTTTTTTTTTTTCTTGGGAAAGTGCAAGTGATCAGTACAGGGCCAATCGCCATTGTCCAGACAGAGGTCAGGGTCCTGCATCCTCCTACAGCAGAATGAAAACTCCTCCGACACTTGCCTAAACACTTGATAGAGGTCACAAGACTTCTCTAACTGCTGATGATAAAAGGTATTTAGCAGTTTATATTTATTACAATAATTGCACTTCTGTGTTCTGTGTACTGTGGGAGACCAGATATAGTGAATGCAGGGTCTGGGGTTTAGTAGCACTGTAATTTTACTGACCGATCACTGTTGCTCCCATAAGAGAAGACCAGGCCCAGGTTGTTTGTACAAGATATAAACATGTTTGTTTGGCTAGTACAGTTGTGCATGTTGAGACTATTATCATTCACATTAGTTAAAAGTTTAACTAAAGGCACTTTTTTTTTGTTTGTTTGCTTTTTTGTTTCAGATAGGCTAGAGAGGGATTAAAATACCCATCAGGCTCTCATTGCTGTCTGTGTCGTTTCACACCTGAGCGTTTTGTAGCTTGAAGCTCCAGAACGCTCAACATCCAAAATCCAATGGTTTTCAGTTGTGCTTGTTCACACCTGAGTGTAGTGTACCTTGAAGATCGAAAACGTTTGTGAGGTTCTTTTGAGCTACACTTTACTTTAATGGATGTGCCTGGAAAATGTTTGCATTGCTTGTTTCTCTTCTGCTAGTAACTAGCTATGGGTAAAAATAATAATTAAAAAAATCTCATGCAAAGCCACTCAAAAATGCCTGTATACGCACTCAAGAAAAACGCCTGCAAACACAAGCAGACACACTTTGCTCAACTGTAAATGCAGCCTGAGGCCCTAGGGAGAGGAAACCAGTTGTTAGAGGTTAACAAAAACCCGCCTGAAATATGAATGGAAAAAAATGCTCGATTTGGGTTTTTTTAAGCATTCCCATTGGAGTCCCTAAGACCAAAAATGCCCAAATCTGTCTAAAAAGTAGTTCATGTAGATTTTGGAGTGTCAGGCATCAGGACACAGGTGCATGAGCGCTCATATATGAACAGCCACCTTTAACTTACATGGGATAGTGTTTATTGGGAGTTCCAGCCCTTTGAGTTACTGAAGCTCAGATGTAAATGGGGCCCTAGCGAGATTCACCCTCTCTATTTGTCCTATTTACCATTATCATCCACAACTGGAAGTCTAAATTTTAGATTGTCAGCAGTACAGGAATAGAGGGGAAATCTTCAAAGAGTTGATACTATTTCTGGTGACAACCAGGTATTTCCTCACTTTGGCGGGGTTTCCTCTCACTTCCTGTTTTAGCTATGGGACAGGAAGTGAAGGGAAATCTTTCCAGCGAGAGACAGATGTCAAAATGAAGAAAACAAATTGCCTTCGGTTCTAATTTAATAGTCATTTAGTAACTCAGACATAAGATGGCAGTTGAAAGACTGTTAAAAAAAAAAAAGCAAACAAAAAAACTTTGTGTTTCAGCCCTGGTATTTGTTGGCTCAGAGCTCTTAAATTTTTTCTCTTACTTAAAGTGGAGCTTTAGACAAAAAAAAATTGTGAACAGGCAGGAATTTTAAAAAAGTTACCTGCCTCTCCACCCCTGTACAGTGAGCCACACATGCGCACCTTACTGTACAAATTCTACAATGCCGTATCTGGCTGAACTCCCGTGTAGTCGGGGAGTGATGTCATCTCCACCCCTCTAAACACTTAAAGCGGAACTTTAACTGTATATGAACACCACAAACTGAAAAACTATTTGAAGTGACTGTAAATGCTCAGCTATTTTTTCTTTAAAAAAATAATCATGGTATATTTGCAGTGGGTATAGAAAAGAATCGCCCCCCTTTTAAAATAATCAAATTTTGTTGTTTTGCAGCCTAAAATGAAGACAGACACAGTTTTTGTTTTATCCAGCTGATTTTACTCAGTACAACTTGATATAGACAGTTGTAGATTAGCAGGGGGTGTGTCCAACATATAATTAATAGGTTAGAATTCTCATACCTGATGATCAACCCTGTACTTGAGACTACATTTACTCTCTAGCTGCAAGCTAAAATACGTTTTATTGGGAAGGCAAGTGTAGTGCCGGATCTGGCAGGGAGCAGTGCAATTTTAGGGTTTCACAGAGCTTGTTTCATTTTTTTTCTCAACTTAATTCATGTCACTGCACAAGCACCACAGTGCGTTGACATGGAGCGCCATCCAATGCAGTGCAGAAGAATTGCAGACATGCTGCATTTTTCCTGCACACCACACCAGTGTATTGGTGTAAAAAGGGCACATAAAAAAAACAATTGTTTTCTGTGTACCGTGAAAAGTTGCTTGTGTTTTATCTAGGGTGGAAAAACTTAGGTCACTGCACACAGAGTGAACCTAAAATGATTCTGGGCGTTTGTCATTGTTTTCCTCTTTTTGTGTGTTTTTCAGTGGAGTAATGCTGTCTAAAAGCACATTTTCTCATTCATGGTATACATAATTTTCCCTTAAATTCCCCTTTTCTGTTATCTAGGTTAATATCATTCCCATAATTGCTAAAGCTGACACAATATCGAAGAGTGAACTCCACAAGTTCAAAATCAAGATTATGAGTGAGCTGGTTAGCAATGGCGTCCAGATTTACCAGTTCCCGACTGATGATGAAGCAGTGGCGGAGATCAACTCTGTAATGAATGTAAGTAAAATGGACCTAGAATGGCATGAAATTGAAAAATGGTTTGGTTAGTGGTCTGTTCTTCCTAACATGGCACAGACAGGAAATGATGTTCCAGTACTGGGCATTCAGCGGAAACCATGCCACCCCGTATAAGCACCATCACATCGACTCGCATAAATGACAGAACCGGACACTCCTTGAGGGACTAGATAAGGACCAGTTCTCATCTGTGCGGTGTGTTTTTTATCCACACTACCATTGAACTATATATAACGTGCCTTTACATGAAAGCACATAAAAGATGCAGCAAGCTGGATGCACCTCGCTGAAAACATACATAAACCTTACAAGTGTGAAGAAGGCCTAAGGGTCTGTATATTTTTCAGTAGTAAATGTGTTTAGGTCACTCCGGAAGACAGCACGAGATGTAGATTATAGTTGGCAAACAAAAGCCCCATGGTTTCTATTAGGAGTCATGGGAGCCCTAAAAAAAAAAAAAAAAAAGTGGTGTGGGCTTTAAATCATGTTAAAGAAGAACTCCAGGTATGGATATTTTCTACTTGGCTATGTTGGTCCAATGTGTATATACCACACCTGACCAATCCCCCTGGAAGCTGGAAGTCACCGAAGCAGACACCGCTACTGCAGTGAACTCCTTTTGATTCAGGGTCCTATGCCGAGTAGCTGATCTGCTGCATTCTGAACACAGGAGGTTGGCTGATGTGTATGGGCGCCATCATTCTCTGAATGAATACAAAGGTTTCTCTGATTGGATGAGGTCAAGAGCATGACTTCACTGCCCAGCCTCTAGGCCTTGTCCAATCAGAGAACACTTTGCATTCATTCAGAAAATGCAAAACATTCCCTGAATGTCACCCGTGCTTGGCAGCCAACCTCCTGTATTCAGAATGCTCTGCACAGAACCTGAAAGTAAGTGGAGATCACGATCCATACCTGAAATTCTTCTCTAAATATTTCACTTATGTTTATAGAAAGCCTTTTAACAAAGATCTTGTCAAGCTTTAGTCGTTCTCATGCGAATGTGTTTTGAAATAGACTTAGTCTTGGCTTATACCTTGGAATTTCCTTTACATGCTCACTGATTTATGTAGTATATCATTATATTTAGTTACTACATTCAGCATTGATTTTTTTCTCTTGAGAACCCACTTGCTTGTTACGTCTATTGTAGTGCTCCACTGCTCTCTAGTGGCAGCAGACAGTGACTACAGAAGCTAATTTTAGTCATGGTACCATGTTGTGTGTGTTTTTTGTTTCTTAAATCTCCAAAGTCTTCTCAGGTACTGTAGAAAATAATTTTTATATGGCTTACTCTCAGTAAACGTAAGATATGCACTTTTGAATACGCATGAATAACTTTATCTACTGTTTTACTTGAAGGCAGTGGATGTAAAAACGCACACCTGACTCCACTTCTACAGATCTGTGTGCATAAGTTTTCTTGTATGTTCAAATAGTGGTGCAATATCATGGCAAATTTAATTTGTAGTAGTTGTGTGACTATTGTTGGCTCTAATATCTGATCTTTTCTCATAGTATAGATCTACTCTATCCTGATTGTATAATTTTTTTTTTTTATCAGGCTCATCTTCCATTTGCTGTAGTCGGGAGCACAGAAGAAGTAAAAGTTGGCAATAAGTTGGTGAGAGCCAGACAATACCCATGGGGTGTTGTTCAAGGTATGTGTGAACGTAGAAATGCTTTTTGCGTGCAAACATTTCACTTGTATTTATGATCAGAAATTGTTTAGTAAAAAATTCTACTGATAGCTTTGAAGAAACTGTATTTAGACAGGAGAGACCAGCATTGTTTAGCAAACCTAAAAAACACTTTACTGAGAAAATATGGAGGCTACTGCTGTTGGTCTTTCTTTCTGCTTTTTTGCCTGACTGGCATAGTGACCCATTGGCTTTAATAATTTCTGAGATATGGGCCTTGTAACAGACATGTAGAACAGGAACTGCCAGGAAACTGTTAATCGTAAGGTCTGCAGTGATATGTCTGTAAGTACAGGTTTCTTTTTGATGACGAGTGTTAAAGGAGAAGTATCCACCTAGGTAAGTAGGAATTAAAAAACAAAACAATCCGAGAATTCTCTTTTTAATGACCTCAGTTTCTAGCAAAGTATTAATTCTCATGATATTAAGTGTGGAGTCTGTTGATACATGCAGCGTTGTATGGGCCATATCCTCTAGAAGGCTTAGTCTCCCAAGTGTCCCCATACAAGGGACACTCTGTAACATAAATCCATTAATAGCTTTTAAGTATGTTGGCAATACTGTGTGGTATTCTTCATAACACGACTAACGAGTGCTCTCTTGATGGATGCTAGTTTAAATAGTTTTCTGATCTTGTTCCTGTTATGTATCATTTAAATGTATGTTTTCAGATGCCTTTGAACCTTTTTGCATTTGTTTTATAGTGTTTCTAACAATGTGTTTCCCATAGTTGAAAATGAGAGTCACTGCGACTTTGTGAAGCTGAGGGAAATGCTGATCCGGGTCAATATGGAGGATCTCAGGGAACAGACGCATACGCGCCATTATGAGCTGTATAGGCGTTGCAAGCTTGAAGAGATGGGTTTTAAAGACACTGACCCAGATAACCAACCCTTTAGGTACATATAAGGGGGGAGAATTTTGTGCTGGAATATGCTAATAACATTCTTTACAGTCTTCTGCCACCAGTGGGATTGGTTAAAGATACTGTATGTGAGCACACATTACAATCTGATCAGCGGTACAATTTACAACAGTTCCATGGTGCATGCAGTAAGACGCAAAACCATTGTAGGGGAAGGATAACTAAATTATAATGTATCCAGTAACTGTGCAGTTCTGCATTATATACTATGACAATCTTTTGATTTGTATAATGCTAACCAGCATGTTGTCTTGTGAAACACTAACCGCTGAGCTCACAGTTTTTTTTTTAAATATGAAGTTTTAAGTGTATGTTCCATGAAATGTCTTCTTCACTGCTAGTCCCCTGCCCAAAACTAAAAGTGTTTAAAAAAATTACATAAAAGAAAAGCTTTCATGAACGTGTAACTAAAGGCAAAACTTTTTTTTTTTTTTGTTTTTGATAGGGGCAGAGAAGGGGCTAGAACACCACTACTTCCTGTGCTCCCCTTAGGGAGGTTTACCCTCTGTTTTTGCCCTGTTTGCTGTTATTGAAAGTACAACATTTTGGGTTGACATCAGAACACTAATAGAGGAGGAATCTTCCAATGGGGACACACTGGGATTCCCTCATTTAGAAGGATTTCCTCCCACTTTTTGTTTTGGCTATGGAACAGGAAGTGAAAGGGAAATCTCCCCAATGGGACACATGGAAAACAAAAAATTAAACTGGGTTTAACCCAGTTTAACCCTCCATTACTTTACCCGGAATAAAAAAAAATGTTTTGCTGTTTACTTACCAAAAATTTCCTGGTAGTTCTAGGAGACTATGCCTTACTGATGCCTCCCAAGGAAGATAGGGGATGCTTTCCCCATGAGGCACAGTCATGGGAATTCAGAACAGCCCTAATGACACTTTTCTGGCAATAGTTCCCTTAAGAACTACCTGCGCCTAATTCAGGCAAGCACCGATGTCCGAAACACATCGTGCAGCAATTTCAGATCACTCCTACTACCGCCACTTCAAGAATCTGTCGCTGTCATTACTATCAGTTCTCAAATTAAAAAACGGAAGGTACTGAGGTACGCCAGTACGAAGAGTAGACGGTGCCTGTGCTGGGACCTTGTCGTGTGTGACCGCTTCCCACACAGGCCAAAACTGAATGTAAATGGGGACACCGTCCAAAACTGAATGTAAATGGGGACACCGTCCAAAACCAAATGTACACAGGTGATGTAATTTCCTGAATTTGGCAATGCACGTATTTGGGAAGTGACTTGTCATTAGGTGAGTTAAACCTGATGGAGAACTGAGACTAGTTCCCCATCAGCTCCACTTTATTTTTGATTGACAGCACATGGCAGAAGGCAGCTTTGAAAGCTACTATTGGACTGAACAGCAGCTAGAAATCCACCCACTGCAGTATGCTGTCATTTCAAAGTAAAGCAGACCTAGTCTGTCAGTTCCCCATCAGACTCTACTCACCTCTACTACAAACCTCCTAGGTCATATGCTTGTCGGTGTGATGGGTGCAGTGTCCAGAGGCGCGAGTGAGTGCACAGAGGAAGGAATGTCCATTGTGGACACTCCTTTCTCAGTGCAGACAGATTCATGTACCTGTCTGTGAATTGGGCACAAGCACTGACACTTTCAGTGCTGCGCCCTAATGGATTTCCAAAGGGTTTCTGTGACTTCCTCGGCTTTGTATGCCTTTTTTTTCTTTCTTTATTTTAATAATTGTGGTGCTATCAGTCTTCAGGAGACATATGAAGCTAAAAGAAAAGAGTTTCTGGAGGACCTGCATCGGAAAGAGGAAGAAATGCGGCAGATGTTTGTCAACAGAGTGAAGGAAACAGAAGCTGAACTGAAGGACAAGGAGAGGGAAGTAAGTTTGTTTTTTGGGTCAAACTAGGATCATTGGAAAGAAGCAAACATTCTTTTAGTTATGCGAATAAATTAGAAAAAAAAGAAGGCATTTCGAACATCTAGTGGTAGTTTGTTTATATCTTATAGCTTGACTATATAGAGCAAATTATACTATGGTAAAAGTAATGAAAGATGATAAACATCAGCTATCCACAGTGTGATAGCATAAATTGCCTTGAGAAAAGCAAGTGATCTGTTTTTGCTCATGAATAATGCTGCAGGCTTCATGAGAATATATCTTTTTGTGCTTGTAGCTTCAAGAAAAGTTTGCACATCTGAAGAGGCTACACCAAGACGAGAACAGAAAGCTGGAGGAAAAGAGGAAGGAGATGGAGGACGAGATGAACTCCTTCAACAGGAGGAAGATGGCGGTGGAATCATTGCAGCCTCAGGCATACCAAGCATCTTCCCAGCAGCCTTTAAAGAAGGACAAAGACAGAAAAAAGTAAGTGGATGTGTGCTGTAACCGCAGTTTGTAGTTCAGCATTTCTGTCCCTAGTGTATCACACAATGCTGATGTGAGGCAGATTTTAATGTCTGTGTAAAGTTGGACGTAGGCTTACGAAGACAGTCAACCCTCCAAACTTAGGGGAGCACAGCTAAAGCCTGGGAGCTCTTACTGCTGCCATAGACATTCGGCAATGTCATGTGACAATTATTTATTCATGTCCATTGCTAGCCGTATGCATAGTACCATGCTGCCGTCTTAAAAGAGAAGGTATCTCTTCCATCACAAATCCAAAATTAAAATACATTTTTGAAAGCAGTTTTATAAATTACAGCATATCTAGGTTGCATCTACACTGTAGTTGTGCAGTTGCAGTGGAAACTCCTAAATTGACATGTATAGTCTTTGGTAAATAAGGCTATTCATAGTAATGTAATAGTGGTCGCCAAGCTCTATATCCTGAGTTATATTAAATAGCAAACTCAGGAAATGGCTGTATCTCTTTACTTAGGCCAAACACTGTGAGCTGATTATATTTTTATTATTACAGGAATTTTATTCATGTAGCGCTTTACATATTGTACATTCACGTCAGTCCCTGCCCTCAGTTTATATTCCCTATCTCACATGCATACTACATCTCATACCATGCATACATATACATACTAAAATAATTTAGAACTGAGCCAATTAACCTATCAACATGTCTTTGGAGTGAGGGAGCTAAGAAAAGTTCCTGGAGAACACCCACAGGGAGAGAATGCAGACTTCATGCAGGTAGTGTCCTGGTTGGGGTTCAAAGGAAGTGCTGCAATGCAGGAGTGTGCTAATCACTAAGCAACTGCTGTCCTGTACTGGTAGGTTTGTTGCCCACTTCCTTCCACTTCTGTCCAGTGAAGGAAAAAAAAAAAATCTCCATATAGTGGCCGGCACCTTATTTCCCACCCCCACCCCCCATGACATGTTAAGTTTCAGGATACGAACTAGAACATATGCTGCTCCCGATTTAAAAAGAAAAAATATTAAATTCATATTTCAGGTCAGCATGATATTTTTTTTATTTAGCCCAGTTTCACACTAGTTCTTTGCAGTTTGGCCGCAGCACAAGTATATCTGATTTTCGTTCGTCCATGGTTCCTTAGACTTTTCATTAGGTTGCATGTTTTGCCACTGTTCCTGAAAGCTCATCAAAGATGTAGCATGACTTTTGGTGCACTTTCAGATTCACAAACACTTTACTTAATAGGAAGGTCTATGGGGCTGTGGGGTGAAACCACAGTTAAAGATCGCTATATCGCCAATACACCCGCATTGCTGCCAATTCGCAGTGCACAAATGTTCTCACCTTCTGGTGCAGGTGGGGGAGAGGAGTGTTAGTAAGTCAAGATGTTGCAACACATGCAATCACTTCTCCTGACAAGTCTTGGCAGTTGGTATTTGCAGGTGACCCATAGACGTTGTCCCAGTGCAGTCAAAAACATCTGGAACAGAAGTCTGTCTTCCAAAGTCTATAGGTACCTGCGCCAAATCTAGCAGCTAGGGATCATAAAGTAAATCTGTTACCTGGAGGCTGCCATTGCTGACCCAAACCTTCTGAAAAAGCTAGTTGCCTGGATGCCTTGTTGATCCTATTGCTTCAATATTTTGTTTCCATGACCTGATAGATATACATAGATAAGGATTTGTCTTTTTTCTGGCTTATACATTCTGCATACTTGTTCTGGGTCAGTGTATTGAGCAACTAGGTAGTTAGTGATCGCAGCCACCAAGTGATCTTTAGGACTTGAGCTTTTTTTCCTAGGTTGCATTAGCAATTTACTGATATTTCTGGCATTGCCCTTCAAAAGTAAAGACCCATTCTGGGCAAAATATAACCCCCTTACCACAACGCTCTAACCCATACTGCAAGGATTTTTACTTACCTGATGAATCAGTATACTGCCCTAAGTCTCCCACTAATCCAGCAATGCAGATGGTCCCTTGCCTGCTTCTCTTCTGGACCCTGAGAGAACCCCACTACTGGACAGCAAAGCGGAAATGTCCACATCATTCAGGCATTGATGTGGAATCCTGAAGAAGGACCCCTCAGGTAGTAAAAAAGAGGGCTGCAGCATCATGTAACCTCAGCTTTAGGGAAGTAAAAAGGGAATATAGAGTGATCAGTTAAGAGCAATAGGAAAGATTGCTGGGAGGGGCATAGTATTATCCCAGAGAGGGGCGTAGTATTATCCCAGAGAGGAGCGTAGTATTATCCCAGAGAGGGGCGTAGTATTATCCCAGGGAGGAGCGTAGTATTATCCCAGAGAGGGGCGTAGTATTATCCCAGAGAGGAGCGTAGTATTATCCCAGAGAGGGGCGTAGTATTATCCCAGAGAGGGGCGTAGTATTATCCCAGGGAGGAGCGTAGTATTATCCCAGAGAGGGGCGTAGTATTATCCCAGAGAGGGGCGTAGTATTATCCCAGAGAGGGGCGTAGTATTATCCCAGAGAGGGGCGTAGTATTATCCCAGAGAGGGGCGTAGTATTATCCCAGAGAGGGGCGTAGTATTATCCCAGAGAGGGGCGTAGTATTATCCCAGAGAGGGGCGTAGTATTATCCCAGAGAGGGGCGTAGTATTATCCCAGAGAGGGGCGTAGTATTATCCCAGAGAGGGGCGTAGTATTATCCCAGAGAGGGGCGTAGTATTATCCCAGAGAGGGGCGTAGTAGTATTATCCCAGAGAGGGGCGTAGTATTATCCCCGAGAGGGGCGTAGTATTATCCCCGAGAGGGGCGTAGTATTATCCCAGAGAGGGGCCGTAGTATTATCCCAGAGAGGGGCCGTAGTATTATCCCAGAGAGGGGGCGTAGTATTATCCCAGAGAGGCGGCGTAGTATTATCCCAGAGAGGGGGCGTAGTATTATCCCAGAGAGGGGGCGTAGTATTATCCCAGAGAGGGGGCGTAGTAGTATTATCCCAGAGAGGGGGCGTAGTATTATCCCAGAGAGGGGGCGTAGTATTATCCCAGAGAGGGGCGTAGTATTATCCCAGAGAGGGGCGTAGTATTATCCCAGAGAGGGGCGTAGTATTATCCCAGAGAGGGGCGTAGTATTATCCCAGAGAGGGGCGTAGTATTATCCCAGAGAGGGGCGTAGTATTATCCCAGAGAGGGGCGTAGTATTATCCCAGAGAGGAGCGTAGTATTATCGCAGAGAGGAGCGTAGTATTATCGCAGAGAGGAGCGTAGTATTATCCAGAGAGGAGCGTAGTATTATCCCAGAGAGGAGCGTAGTATTATCCCAGAGAGGAGCGTAGTATTATCCCAGAGAGGAGCGTAGTATTATCGCAGAGAGGAGCGTAGTATTATCCCAGAGAGGGGCATAGTATTATCCCAGAGAGGGGCGTAGTATTATCCCAGAGAGGAGCGTAGTATTATCCCAGAGAGGAGCGTAGTATTATCCCAGAGAGGGGGCATAGTATTATCCCAGAGAGGGGCGTAGTATTATCCCAGAGAGGAGCGTAGTATTATCCCAGAGAGGAGCGTAGTATTATCCCAGAGAGGAGCGTAGTATTATCCCAGAGAGGAGCGTAGTATTATCCCAGAGAGGGGCGTAGTATTATCGCAGAGAGGAGCGTAGTATTATCCCAGGGAGGGGCGTAGTATTATCCCAGAGAGGAGCGTAGTATTATCCCAGAGAGGAGCGTAGTATTATCCCAGAGAGGAGCGTAGTATTATCCCAGAGAGGAGCGTAGTATTATCCCAGAGAGGAGCGTAGTATTATCCCAGAGAGGGGCGTAGTATTATCGCAGAGAGGAGCGTAGTATTATCCCAGGGAGGGGCGTAGTATTATCCCAGGGAGGGGCGTAGTATTATCCCAGGGAGGGGCGTAGTATTATCCCAGAGAGGGGCGTAGTATTATCCCAGAGAGGGGCGTAGTATTATCCCAGAGAGGGGCGTAGTATTATCCCAGAGAGGGGCGTAGTATTATCCCAGAGAGGGGCGTAGTATTATCCCAGAGAGGAGCGTAGTATTATCCCAGAGAGGGGGCGTAGTATTATCCCAGAGAGGAGCGTAGTATTATCCCAGAGAGGGGGCGTAGTATTATCCCAGAGAGGGGCGTAGTATTATCCCAGAGAGGGGGCGTAGTATTATCCCAGAGAGGGGGCGTAGTATTATCCCAGAGAGGGGCGTAGTATTATCCCAGAGAGGGGCATAGTATTATCCCAGGGAGGAGCATAGTATTATCCCAGAGATGGGCATTAACAAAGGTTTTTCAGTATTTGAGGAAAAATATCCCTTCCACTGATTCCATGCTGTTCTTTCCTAGCATTATCTTCTGAGCACAAAACTTGCTTACTGTAGTCTGCTGAGTCAGTTCGGCAACATCTGCTGGATCATGTGCTTGCAAAATTTCTACATGAATGAGAATTCACTGAAGTGAAAAAAATGTATTTATAGCAAAGTCTGTCTAAAGAGCTCATTCCTGGTACTAACCTGTCTAATGTGGCAGAGTGTGCTACGTGAACTGTCTATTTAACACAGAATAAAAGATTGAGAATGATAAAGTAATTTTAAATCATACTAATGCAACCAAAATATAACTTCCATATATATGAATGATTCATTGCAAATTCATCAGTTCTATTATCCCCAAAACAAACCCTATTTCTCTACTGCAAGTAGAATGCAGGTTGATGGTGTTTTTCAGGGTAGTAGAAAAAGAGGAACTTTGTCCTAGCCTTCAATGAAGAAAGTGGAAACGCTTCTTCAGATATTTGACGCAGTTCAGCATGTTAGCGAAACCTAGCACGACCACCTATCTATGTTCCCATGTCACATGTAAAAAATATTGGGGCGAAGGGCCTTTTGGTTATGTATGGGACCCAGGAGGGGTCAAAAAGTCTAAGGGAAGGAAGGCTACCATAGTTAACTTATTTTAAAAGTACTACTTGCTTGGCTGTTTTTCTGATACTCTTGCTTCATTCTTTGAATTCAGTGACTTGTAAGCAGAGAAGAACCTTT